AATAGAGGATTCCCCAAGACTAACGTTCTGAGATACTCAGTACACCTTGAACCAAAACTATCCTGAGGTCACCTTTTAGCTAAACAACAGATTGGCTCATAAAATAAAGAATATTACTAGTGAGGACGGTGCACCTTTAAAAATCATCTATATAAGACCAACTGGTCAACAGTTACTCTAAAGCAAAGATGAAAGGGTAAGGGGACAGAGAAACTGGATTACTGGAAGTGAAACATCCAGAAGGGAATTAATCAGAATGTTAAAACATTGTGAAAAATGTAACCCGTGTCTCTGAACAATACGTGTAGTAATTGTTAAATGGGAACCTAACCTGCTGTGTAAACTTTCTCCAAAAACAGAATAAAATATTATCTAATAAAATAAACAAAACTCAGCAGGGATGTGGGGAGAAAAACTACCATCAGCCACTAGTATCAGCATCTCTGCAGAAGGAAGCCGAGGGGAGTAACAGCTTCTGATGCTGTGTTGCTGGTGGGAATGTAAAATGGTGCAGCTGCTGTGATGAATAGTTTGGTGGTTCCTCAAAAAGATAAACATAGACTCACCATATGATCCAGCACTTTTACTCTTAGATACATACCCAAGATAAATGAAAACATATGTCCACGTGAAAACTTGGGCATGAATGTTTATAGCAGCATAATTCATAATAGCCAAAAAGTAGAAAAAACTCAAATGCCCATCAACTGGTGAATGGACAAACAAAATATGATATATTCATACAATGAATTATTCAGCAATAAAAAGAAAAAAGTTCTGATACATGCCACAACATGAACCTCAGAAGCATTATGCTAAATGAAAGAAGCAAGTCACCAAAGACCACGTACTATTTAACCCCATTTATATAAAGTGTCCAGAATAGGCAAATCTATAGAGACAGAAAGTAGCCCTGGTGGTGAAGTGGTTAAGAGCTCGGCTGCTGACCAAAAGGTCGGCAGTTCGAATCCACCAGCCGCTCCTTGGAAATCCTATGGGGCAGTTCTACTCTGTCCTATAGGGTTGCTATGAGTTGGAATTGACTTGACAGCACACAACAACAACAACAACAACAGGGCTGGGATGAAGGAGCCCTGGTGGTGCAATGGTTAAGCGCTCAGCTGCTAACCATAAGGTCAGTGGTTGGAATCCACTGGTGGCTCCTCGGGAGAAAACACCTGGAAATCTGCCCCCATAAAGATTACAGCCCGGGAAACCCTATGGGGCAGTTCTACTCTGTTGTATAGGGTAGCACAACAACAATTGGCACACAATGACAGGCCTGGGACGGGTGAGGAAGAAGGGACCTGAAAGGGGAGGGGACTGCTAACGGGTACAAGGGTTTTTTGGAGGGTGATGAAAAGGTTCTAAAATTAGATTATGGTGATGGTTGCACAATTCTGTAAATATACTTAGAACCATTGAAATGTACAGTTTAAACAAGGGAACTTTATAGTATGTAAATTCTATCTTAATAAATCTATCTTAATAAATTCTATCTTAATAAAATCAACACATTCAAAAAATTAATGAATTAAGAAATAACTTACACAACCTGGCTTTATTTTTCAAGGCTTTATTTTTGTCAGCAATTGCCTTTACTGCTGGGCTCATTGCAGCCATTTTGGGGTAGGAGGCCTTTCTTGAGCAACACAAATGGCTCCACACTGCCAGCTCCACTGTCTTCACATGAAGGGCTACCTGTGCATGGATGTGGTTTTAGATGTGTGTTCTTTGTGCTTGGTGAAACCATGGTCACATGAAAAGCTTATTTCTTAGTCATACCACAAAATAGTTGTTGTCATTCTTAAATAATAAAAGGGTGGAAATGACAACAGTTCACATTTATACTTCCTTGATCATAGTATCTGAGGTACTGCTCCCTGGACAATTCCTTCTAATTTCTGCACTCATCCATGGTGCCAATCTCTTCTGTAAAATTACTTTTTAATGATGTCTGACTTCACTGCTCTGCTAAAATAACAATGACTAAATCATATGGCTCTTTAAGTTTGAGAATAAAATTGTCTAATCTGTAATTCTTATTTCACATAAAATATAACCTTGAGAGCTGAAATGCCAAAGAGAACTTTTCACCCATTGATATCGGTAGTTAATTAGGTCTGTCAAAATACCAGCATCTATTTTCTTATTTGCCCAGCTATTTCCGCTTACCAGAGCACCCTTTATAATAAATTTGGTCATACTTTTCTTTGACAAACTGCCTGCTGTCGGTACTATCTTCTAGTCGTGCATTTATTCCCAGAAACTCAAGAAGCTCCTTCTCTATAGGCCAAAAGCTTTGGCACTGAAACCTCCACTGTCAAAGGATCTTCAGTGTGACCACAAATTTCCAGTCCTACACAGAGAATGGTTGTCCTATTTGAGGATTTTCAACGAGTTGAGCTCATCTCTGATTGCTTGGTTTCTTTATTATTTTCTTTATTTTTGTCATTGATAACACCATCTTTAGAAAAATGATCACTCCTTCGTTTGTACTCCCATAACGGTCATTTTGGCTTATTCCCCAATGTCCATTCTATTGAAATAAAACAGTTTAAACCAATTATGGATGATTCTTACCAGCACCTGGAGAATTGACTCCGAAAGTATGTTTTTTCCCCTAAACAGGAAGCATCACAGAAAGATGTAAGGAGCAGGCTGAGAGTACGACAGCACCTGCTAGAATGAAGCCTGGACGTGAGGTCAGTGAACTGGACCAGGTCTGAGGGGAGCTGGACTGTAGTTTTGCCTTTGTCACCTAAGCTAATTACCATACGACCTTGAATTTGTGAGTTCAGCTCACACGGTCAAATTCCTTGCCTCCATAGATCTGACTAAGTAATTTCTTAGTCATGAAACAAAACACTTTCTATGCACCAGGCTCTGAGCTAGTTTCTGGCAATATGAGATAGACATGGACATGGTTTCAGGGAGCTTATGGTCTACTTAGGAGACCGTCAGTGGTGCAAATGGTTAACATGCTCTGCTGCCAACCAAAAGGTTGGCAATTCGAGTCCACCCAGAGGTACCACAGAAAGGCCTGGTGACCTATTTCTGAAAAATCAGCCACTGGAAACCCTATGGAGTACGGTTCTACTGTGACACACATGGGGTCAACATGAGTCAGAATTCACTCTAAGGCTTTTTTTTTTTTAGCTTTTCGGTTAACAGCCTGAGCTCTCAACCACTGCGACACCAGAGCTCCATTTAAGGAAACAGACAAGAAGCAAATAATTATTTAATCCTAGTTGCGATAAGTGCTTAAAAAAATAAAGTGCGCACAAAAAAAGATCAGACTTACTGGCCTGACAGAGACTGGATAAACCTCGAGAGTATGGCCCCTGGACACCCTTTTAGCTCAGTAATGAAGTCACTCCTGAGGTTCACAGTTCAGCCAAAGATTAGACAGCCCCATAAAACAAAACGAGACTAATGGGGCACAACAATCCAGGGACAAGGCTAGAAGGCAGGAGGGGACAGGAAAGCTGGTGATAGGGAACCCAAGGTAGAGAAGGGAGAGTGTTGACATGTCATGGGGTTGTTAACCATTGTCATAAAACAATATGTGTACTAACTGTTTAATCAGAAAACATTTGTTCTGTAAACCTTCATCTAAAGTACAATAAAAATAAAGTCCGCAGTGCGTCAAATAACTAGAAGTCAGAAGCTCAGGGCTCTCAAACTGCGGGCTGGAATACCTGATGAACTAGTAAAATACTTACTTGCTCTGGGTCTATCCAGGGGCCAGGACTCTGTTAGAACCTCTGCTGTTGCCAGCAAACAAGGAACAGCCTTGCTCTTTCCAGATTCAGAAAGGAGCAGTAAGAGGGAGGAACCAGCCTGCTTGTTTCCAGATTCAGCCAGAGAGCTCTCTGGCCAGCTGTTGGAAGACCAGTGTGAAAACTGTTGGGCATCTCAGTGGTTAGAGTCAGTGGTTAGCAACTAAACCAAAAACAAAACAAACAAAAAACCCATTGCCGTTGAGTCGATTCCGACTCATAGCGACCGTATAGGACAGAGGTTAGCAACTAAATCAAGGAAATCTGGGCATCTACAATCTAGACAGAAATAGAGCAGCCTGGGTGTTAGGATGATACACTGGCCAGCTTGCCAGTTGGATGTGTCTTTTGGGCTCTGCTCTGCTCTGCTTGTTTTAGCCGGTGAGAAAAAACAGTTCTATGGCAGCAGCCATTCATACTTGATGTGCATCCGCTGGTGAGAGCTGGTTTACCACCACCATTCCTCACCCCATTCAAACAACATAATTCATGGAGGCCTACTATGTGCCAGGCCTTCTGCCGGGCTGTGAAGATGTTACAGTGCTGCCGAAGGCAAGGAGCTGACCATCTAATTCAGAGATTCCCAAACTTTCTCAGTTCATGTTGCCCTAGTGTCTCAGGAGAATTTTTCACTAGCATCCCTCGTTTTTGTTAGCTGCCGTCCAGTAGTGCCCTACTCATGGTAACCCCACGCACAACACCATAGACAACAGAACTGTCATCCGCCTGATCAGTAGCGAATAGGGCCGTTGATTTTTGGAAGTACATCGCCAGGCCTTTCCTCCTAGTCTTTCTGAGTCTGGAAGCTCCGATAAAACCTGTTTAGCATCATAGCAACACTAACCTCCACTAATAGACGGTGGTAGCTGCGCATAAGGTGTGTTTGCAGGGAATCTAACCCAGATCTCCTGCATGGAAAATGAGAATTCTACCACTAAACCAGCACTCCCAGGCTAAAAGAAATACCTCTGCACTGCCTCATGTGCCCTGCCCTTGACGAGACCCTCTGCCCACCGTGGGCCCTTCCAGTCGACCAGACCTGCTCGCTCTGTGCGCGTAGCCTGCCGGGACCTAGCGCCGCCCAGTGCGTCCTGCCCCGCCCGCCATGCCCCGCCTGTCCGGACACCGCTTCTCCGGGTGCGCCCCGCCCGGATCCCCTCCGCCGGGTGCGCCCCGCCCTGCCCGGCCAGCGCGACCCAAGGTCCTGGACGCAAGGAGCATGGCGGCCCCGGTCACGCGGCAGGTCAGCGGCCGCGCCGACCCGGCGCCGGTCCCGACTGGCCCGGAGAGTGGGCAGCCCCTGGCCGCTGCCGTGGCCGAGCTGCCAGTGCTGGACGCCTCCGGGAAGCGAGTGGCGTTTGGCGCGCTGTTCCGGGAGCGCAGGGCGGTCGTGGTCTTCGTGCGGGTGAGCGCGGCGACGGGCGACCCCGGGCAGGGACCTCGCCTGCAGGCTGGGGTGGAGGGTGCTCCACAGCCTCGGCTCGGGGGGCACATCAGGGCCCTTGAAGAGTCTGGAGCCGAAAGTAGGTACTAGCCGGGCCTAGCCATTCCCATTCTCGTCTCCTAGCGGCTTTCGGAATGCGAATGGCTCCTGTCGCTTCCTTTAACCGGAATGGAAAAACAGCCCGCCAAGCAAAGGCCATTTTCCCAGCTAGCGGGACGGCACAGCAGGGGCTGGATGTGGCCCGATTTTAATGCACCTTCGGTATCACTGACACCTTTTTCTACCCGTTTTGGGTGTTATTAGCGTCACGCACAACGAAGTACTTAGTTCTTTCTGGACCCTGAAGGTGTTAGGTTGCTAACTTGTCTTTTTTTGCGGTGTTGGGATTTTTCAGCATTTCCTGTGTTACATCTGCAAGGAATACGTAGAAGATCTGGCCAAAATTCCCAAGAGTTTCTTAGAAGTAAGTTTCCAAAGAGTTAGCAGCAGCGGTCCCGTTTCAGAGCGACCTTGTGAAAAGGAACTTGTCATTTAAAAAGTGCAGCGGGGAGATGCGGAGGGCGTGGCTTCTCCGGCACAGACAGACAAACCTTCTCACACGTCTCTCCAACACCTCCAAAAAAGGGAGAGACACGGTAGAGCTCTACTTCTGTCCTAATTTATTCGTTGCAGTCTGCTTATAAACTTCCTAATCATAATAGTCATTTTACGTTACTAACCTGCCTAGTATTCTCAGATGTGGAATAATGATCAAAACCACAAATAGTAGAAATCATCGATATTTTCTTCTCAATTTTTTTCATCATACTCCAAATTGTTGTTCCTTATAGGAAAATATGAATATGTCTTAAAGGCAAAACTTTGTATCTTTTAGTAGGATGCGTATCCCAAGTCCCTATGATAACCACATACCTGTGTCTTTCACAGGCACGTATAGGTTGATCTCCACGTGAGCTTTCTGAGTGAAGGCATTGGGCAACCTTTGCAAAACTAAGATCAGTTTTCGCCAGACCTTGTCAATTGAAATGTGAAAAATAAACTTGATTAAATAATCTGACTTGAGTAGTTTTTTTTTTTTTTTAATGAATACCTGTGGGGGAGGGAGGTATAGAGAATTATTGACTATGTCATGTTTAAATTCTTAGCAAAAGAATCATTTAACATTAACATTTTGCTATAGTACATTCTTTGCTTTGACACATGCATTTTGCTGTTTATTCTTCTAGAAGCCTATAGGTGGCATTAGAAGGGAACAAAACAGTTGGATTAAAACAGAATTTCTAATATGCACATATCCTTTCTTTTTCCTAAAGGAAGCAAATGTCACCCTTATAGTGATTGGACAGTCATCCTACCATCATATTGAGGTAAATACTTAGCAAATTGGGAAATTAATAGATTGGTTGTTTAATATGTAAAAATTATATTATTTGAATCATCAAGTGTAGGTTAAATTTGCTAGAATTAAGTTAGATTGTTGTTACTTCTCTCTCATTTGTTCTTCTAAAAATCCCAACTATTCTCTTTTTTCAGCCTTTCTGCACACTAACTGGGTATGCTCATGAAATCTACGTTGACCCTGAGAGAGAAATTTATAAAAGATTGGGAATGAAAAGAGGTGAAGAAATTGCCTCCTCAGGTAAGACATGTCTAAAGTAGAAAACACTACTGGTGTATTTTCATGTTTGTATGTGTATGCTTAGGGGAACAAATGGTAAATTCATAAATCAACCTTCTTTTTATGGTTCTGTTAAGTGGTCCGGATCCCTGGTGGCACAGTCGTTAAGCATTGGGCTGCTAACCAAAAGGTCAGCAGTTCGAATCCGCCAGCCGCTCCTTGGAAACCCTATGGGGCAGTTCTACTCTGTCCTATAGGGTCACTATGAGTCGTAATCGACTCAATGGCAATGGGTTTTTTGGTTTATTAAGCGGTCCAGATACACCAAACTCTACAATATTTCATTTCCTTGGTGTAATGACCCAAAAGACTGTGGAGTACCTATTGAGTGAAAAAAGCAAGCTGCAGAAAAATGTATTGAAAACAAAAACTGTCTTTGTAAACTTAAAAGTCTATAGTATATATATATGTGTGTGTAATGAAAAAGGTTTTAAAAGATACTGCAGTGTTTATCCTAAGGGATGGGAATGAGAAAAGTGGCTTTTGTATTTGTATTTTTTGTAGTGAGTACATTTTACTTTGTTGATATATTTTCACTGTAACACCATGGCTTTTGAGTACTGTATGTTTTCTAATTGGTGAGATTCTAGTTATCATTTGAAGCCCAGCTCTTAAACGTGATCTTAATAGCTCTTGAAGCAGAAGTAATTGCTTCCCTCATTGTACTTTAATAATGGCACCTTATACTTAACCGCTATTATAGCACTTAAGGTGACTGGGTAATATAATTAGTTGAAGAGTTTGATATTTTGTTGATTTCTATATTGCCCACATTCCCTGCCCTTAGCACAATTCCTTGTAATTAATAGAGCTTAATAAACTTTAGTTGAACTGCTTATGTGTGTTTTAAGTAGAAAGAAATTGGTTTCTGAAATGCCAGATAAAATAACTCAATTCCAACTCACATCATCATTCTCAGCAGATATTACTGACATCCACCGTGTTGGATGCTCACAGAGGACAATGATAAAAGACACAGCCCCTGCCATTCAGTTCACGTTCTCTCTGGGAGACAAAAGCAAACAAACAATTACAGTACAGTTTAAGGGGTTTTTTTAATAGAGGAGAGCATGTACTAGGAATACCTACACCAGAAAGGCAGGGAGACAGAAGGATCTGAGGAGGCTTCTCAGAGGAGGCGAAGTCTCAGCTCAATCTTAAAGGAGTTTGGAGGGTGGAGTGAGGGTAGGGAAGGGTGCTTCTAGTAGCATGTGTAAAAGCACAGCGGCATGAAAAAATGTGACTCGTTTGGAGAAGTGCAGTTTCTAGCTGGAGTCTAGGGGTCAGATCAGGAGTTGGTATGAGCTAGGGGATAGGTTGTGGCCCATTCATGTTCAATTGGGTGTGACATGCCAAAGGTTTGGATTTATTCTCAAGGCAGTGGGGGAGCCATTCAAGTGTTTGAAGCAGAGAAGTGATACAATCACATATTCATTGTGGGAAGGAATTGCGGCAGAGATATTCATGACAAGGTTTTAGTAATAGGCTAGAAAGAAATGACAGACCTGAAGTGGGGATGGAAAGGAGAGGGTGGATCTGAGAGCCGTTTATGAGATAAAGGTGATGTGATCCCCTTACTGATGTTTTTAAAGAAGGCAACCTAAACTTTATTAAAACTCATGATGAACCAGCATAAACACAGTATTTGTTCTTTTTTTTCTTTTTTTCCCCTCTCTCTCTGTAGAATAGGGAAATGCAACAGTACAGGTTGTGAACCTTACTTTTTGGTACACTATTTTCATGTGCTAGAATATAGTCTTAGCATTTGTAAGGTCTGTTTTTCACTTAGCAATTTGGATATAAACTGCGATTTCACCTCACCAGTCAGTGCCACAATAAAGGTATGGGCTTGTGAACAGATGCATTCTAAGCAAAGATATGCTTTTAAGAGAGAGCATATTAAAATCTTTTAAACTACTTTGACCTGTATTAAAGTACTGTATTTCCAAATAGGAAATATTAGGTTGTCATAAAATAATTTTTTAATGATTCCTCAGTGAAAAACATAAAGGCATAAGTCTTAGAATCAGTATCAGAAAAGCCCTATTTGGGAATTAAGACAGTAGAAAGATATACAATTATAATTTAAAATAAACAGATACCCATTTTATGAAAAAAAAGAGTTAAGAAAATAAAGCAGTTAACTGCAAGGGAGTATTGGATTTGAAAAAGACTGAAAAACAGGAGTTTTATACATAAGAACTAAATTCAAACTGGCAAAATTAGATTGTGCTCAATAGCAGACTGTTAAATTCTAGGTTGTAGAATCTACCCATGGGTTTCTAAATTCTCTGATATCGAATGACCTCTTCTTTGGACATATGAAGATAGCTTGGATTTCTGGACATTTACTTCAGATATGTTGTTGCTGTTGTTAGGTGCTATCAAGTCGATTTTCAACTCACAGCAACCCCATGTGACAGAGTAGAACTGCCCTATAGGATTTCCAAGGCTGTAATCTTTTTTTTTTCCTATTTTTTTCTTCTTAATTGAACTAGGTGCCCCCTGAAACCATGGTCCCTACCTCCAGCAAGGCTGTTATCTTTATGGGAGCAGATTGCCACATCTTCCTCCCACGGAGCCACTGGTAGGGTTCTAACTGCCAACCTTTTGGTTAGCAGCAGAGTGCTTAACTGTTGTACCACCAGGGATACTTTACTTGAGAAACAAAATCCTATAACACAGTAAAATTTAGTCTTCTATCTATGTCTCTACGCTAATGAACCTGTATTTATTTTTTGGTTAGATGAATGCCAATCCTAAAGTAGAAATGAAAGAAATAGAGTTAGAGGGATGAATGGAAATAATAGACATCTGGAGATATTAGGAAATCAGGGCAAGTAAGAGGTTGCAAAATCATCAAAATAAAAAACTAAAAGCAAGACATAAAAGGGCAGGGATAGAAAAATAAGTAGCAGCAAGAGTAAAAAAATTGAGTTTGAAAGGAGCAGGTAGCTTTGTTCTGGAGGAGGCAAAGGGAGTGGAAGTAAAGTGAAGTGTCAGTCCCTGGGAGAAAGGAACTAGAAAACCCAGCAGACAAGGAAGAGTGCAAAGGTGGCTGTACTGGCTGTTGTAATAGCTAAAGCCCTTTTAAAGGCTCAGTAGCATAACATGATAGAAGATTATTTTTTGTTCACTTAAAGTTCAAGATGGGTGTTCCTGTTCAGCGGGTGCCTCTTCTCTAAGCAATGATTCAGGGACCCAGGATCCTTCTATCTTGTAGCTCTGCCATTTTCAACCCAAGACTTCCAAGAAATATAGAAAGAACATGGATAAGTACTTGTGGGAGTGTCATGGATTATGTCCCCCCAAAAATGTATATATCAATTTGGCTAGGCCATGATTCCCAGAATTGTGTGGTTGGCCTCCATTTTGTGATTCTAATTTTATGTTAAAGAGGTTAGGGTGGGATTGTAACACCACCCTTACCCAGGTCACATCCCTGATCCATGGTAAAGGGAGTTTCCCTGGGGTGTGGCCTGCACCACCTTTTATCTCTCAAGAGATGAAAGAGAAGCAAGCAGAGAGTTGGGGACCTCATACCATCAAGAAAGCAGTGCTGGGAGCAGAGCACGTCCTTTGGACCGGGGTCCCTGCGCAGAGAAGCTCCTAGTCCGGGGGAACGCTGATGAGAAGGCTGAAGAGAGACAGCCTTCCTCTGGAGCTGACACCCTGAATTTGGACTTTTAGCCTACTTTACTGTAAGGAAATACTGTAAGGAAACCATCCACTTGTGGTATTTCTGTTATAGCAGCACTAGATGACTAAGACAGGGAGGTTTTTAGGAGCTGGCCTGGAAGTCACCCACATCATATCACTCACATTCCATTGGTTAGCAGATAGTCACATGGCCATACTTAACTGCAAAGGAGACTGGGAAATACAGTTTAGTTGTAGGTCCCAAAAGAGGAAATGGGTTTTGACTAATGTCACAATGCCACAGTGTCTCTTGAAAAGGAGTGTAGCCACCTATTAGTGGGTTGAGAGACTAAACAGTATAAATGGGGAATTAAGAAGGAAAACACTCCCAGTTTGAGAAGTCTGTAGCAGCCTTTTTTTCTGTGGCAGAAAATGATCTGGATTTCTTACCACTTCTTCCTTTAAAGCAGTGGTTCTCAACCAGGGACAGTTTTGCCCCCAGGGGACATTAGGCAATGTGTGGACATTTTTGGTTGTCACAGTTGATGGAGGGGGTGCTGCTGGCATCTAGTGGGTAAAAGCCAGGAACGCTACTAAACATTTTACAGTGCACAGGACAAAGAATTATCTGGTCTAAAATGTCAGTAAAGAAAAGATAGAGAAACCCTGCTTTGAAGGAAAAAAGAAGACCAGTAAAAAATTAATATTGTACACAACATTTTATACAAGTACTAACATCTTCTTGATATCTAATCAGATATACTATCTAAAGACAGTTCCATATATCTCAGGACAGAGTCCCCATGTGAAATCAAATCTACTCTCAGGAAGCATTCGGAGCCTGTGGCGGGCAGTTACTGGCCCTCTGTTTGATTTTCAAGGAGATCCAGCTCAGCAAGGAGGAACCCTCATTTTAGGTCCAGGTAAGTATCAAAGCCCAGATTCAAGAATATGCTTCCTGTGCCTTTTAGGAAGTCCAGATGCCACCCCCTTTCTTCATAAAGTAGCCACCATGTAAAAATGGGGATCTTGACTTTATAACAGAGTGTTGTGCTTTTCGTGGGAAGCTTTCCCCCACCCCCAAAGACTTCTGTGTATTTTGATTTCTATTTAGTTCATATAATGTGCCCATCATTCCATTCCTCATTGATTTCAAGTATTGGGATGGGGAAAGTCAAATGTATAATCCTGGGTTGGTGATTTGTATATCGTTATAACACTTTTTTAGGAGTCCCTAGGTGGCGCAAATGGTTAAGCGCTCAACTACTAGCGAAAAGGTTGCTGGTTCCAACCCTCCCAGAGGCGCCTCAGAAGACTAGTCTGGCAATCTGCTTCTGAAAGGTCAGAGCCTTGAGAACCCTATGGAGCAGTTCCACTTTACACACAGGGTTGTTATGAGTCAGAATCCACTGGAGGGCAACTAACAACAATAACACTTTTTAAAAAGTTCAGTGGAAGGGGCAGGAAGCTAGATCAATGGAAGTAGAACAAACAGAATGGAAATAATGGGAATGCTGACACATTGTAAAAATTGTAACCAATGTCACAGAACAATTTGTTTGAAAATTATCAAATAGGAACCCAATTTGCTGTGTAAGCTTTCACCTAAAACACAGTAAAATATTAAAAAGTAACAATAATAAAAAATAAAAAGTTCAGTGGAGGTGAAGATTTCAAAATAGGGGAGAATCATTAAGCACTTTTTTGATTTTTTATTTTTCGTCAATGGAATAATCAGTCTTGTTTTTTATACCTAATAAAACTAGGAGACTTGCTCAGTGCCTAAAAGCAAGTCAGTGTCAGGGACAGGAAACAAGACTGAACATCTCATTCAGTAAGAAATACTATAAGACACATACTTTTTTTTAAAACTTTTTTCCTTATATTTATTGAAACTGTATTGTTGATAAAATAACGACAACAATAATAACTAAACACCCAGTAATATACCACATACTTTTAACAGCTTTATTGATCAGTTTGGATTACCTGAAATTCCTTTGGCTTCTCTGCTAAAGGTGTTGAGTATTACATCTCTACCATGTTCAAATATCTTAAGGACAAACAGCCATATGTGACAATGCCAATAAGCCTACCCATTGCCATCGAGTTGGTTCCTACTCATAGCAACCCTATAGGACAGAGTAGAACTGCTCTGTAGAGTTTCCAAGGAGCCACTGGTGGATTTGAACTGCCAACCTTTTGGTTAGCAGTCGAACGCTTAACCACTGTGCCACTCCTGGGCTCCCCAATACGCCTGAGTCACCACATTGTAAGCCGACTTTTCTTGGTTCTTCTTCCTCTTTAAAACTGTCCACTTTATGTGAGCGGCCATGTAAGATATTCCACTGGTCTCACCCTGTCGGGAGCAAGGGAGAATGAAGAAAACCAAAGACACAAGGGAAAGATTAGTCCAAAGGACTAGTGGACCACAACTACCACAGCCTCCACCAGACTGAGTCCAGCACAGCTAGATGGTGCCTGGCTACCACCACTGACTGCTCTAACAGGGATCACAATAGAGGGTCCCGGACAGAGCTGGAGAAAAATGTAGAACAAAATTCTAACTCACAAAAAAAGACCAGACTTACTGGTCTGACAAGAGACTGGAGAAACCCCAAGTGTATGACCCCTGGACACCCTTTTAGCTCAGTAATGAAGTCACTCCTGAGGTTCACCCTTAAGCCAAAGATTAGACAGGCCCATAAAACAAAACGAGACTAAAGGGACAAGGACTAAAATGCAGGAGGGGATGGGAAAGCTGGTAATAGGGAACCCAAGGTCGAGAAGAGAGAGTGTTGACATGTTGTGGGGTTGGTGACCAATGTCATAAAACAATACGTATACTAATTGTTTAATGAGAAGCTAGTTTGTTCTGTAAACCATCTAATGTACAATAATAAATAAAATTTTTTTAAAAACTGTCCACATCTAAGAGTGACAGAAATTAACATTTACTTTGATAAATTCCGTATGTCTTAAGGAAAGTCTTTAGAAGGTGTATTTTGAGTAAGTATTATGACTTTTGTCTTTTTGCAGCTGGAACACTATAATTAAAATCTGTCATTTTATTTTAGTCTCCCTTAACCTCCTTCTCATGAATTTGCACCAGTGAGCTGAAAAAGAAGCCCTGTTCTATGAGAATAATGAGTTATAGAAACTATATATATATAGAAACTATAGAGTTTATAGAAACTAGCCCAGAATGAAATTGAACTGTATTTTTGAATGCCTTATTTCCAGCCTCAGAACTGGAAGGGGTGTTTTTTGAGTACCTCATCTTCATTTCTGATCGTCTGACCAGACATCTGATCAGTTGTATAAGAATGAAGAGTGCACGGAGAGCTTCATTTGTGTGCAAAGTTGTGAACAAACAGAGAGCACATTTTGTAACTCTTCTAAGGAAAGGATCATGATATACTTATTTACACAAATCCATTTTCATGGCTAACCCAGTATTTCATTTTGATTTATTTGATAATAAGCCAATTTATGATAAGCCTAGTGATTATTGGAGACTGTAGATAAGTACAATGCAGAAAACATGCCTCATGATACTTAGTAAATCTAATTTTTTAGGTTAAAATTCTAGCCTTGAGTCCAAGAATTGAAGTAAATAGAACCTGGACTACACATGACTTCTTTTATTTGAGCAGATAAAAGCAATCTACAGTGCATGTAAGTGTACTGTAACTGATTATCTTAATGTCCTTATTGTTAGTCTCTTTTGAGCTGTGGTTATAATGCAAATAGCCTATTAAATTTGGGAGTAGGTTTTTAAAGTGAGTTATTTATTCCGTTGTTTTATTTAAGAAGAAGATGTGATTTTCCTACTTGATATCTATGTTAGTTCCTAATTCTGCCTGACAGGACATTTGATTTAATTATACTTAATAAAACCTAACAGAAGGTTATAATTTAAGAATCATTCCCATTGGATCTCATAAAACACGAAGTATCACTTTTATTTAACCATAATCCTTGTCATGCTTTATTACCATAATTAAAAACTATTAGGGCATTATATAGATAGTATGATGTACTCCAGGTAATTAATTTTTCCCTCTGGACTAATTAAAAGTTGGAAACTGCCCTTGATTCTAGTAAGCAATAAATCTAATAAATAATATTTCACATGCCAACCTCAGCCTTTTATTCTTATTTTCTTCTAGGTAACAATATCCATTTTATACACCGTGACAGGAATAGGTTGGATCACAAACCCATCAACTCTGTTTTACAGCTTGTAGGAGTTCAGCATGTCAACTTTACGAACAGACCTTCAGTTATCCATGTGTGACTCTATACAGAATGTGTGGCTTCTAAACAACCCCTTAGGAATATGACCTTAAATGTTTGGGGTGTGAAATGTCTAACTTGCTGACCCTACTAGCCACTGAGGAGTTATAAAAACACAAAGAGATAATGTACCAGTTGACTTGCATGCTGAGAGGCATCAGTTGTCAAAAATATGCTTTTGTATAAAACATGTAAAATTATAAATACCATTCTTAACTTTTTTTTTTTACATTATGATATAGTCATTCAAGGAAAGATTTATTTTTTTGGCCTTTAAAATCATAAATTCTTAGAAGAATATATGGGGCAAGGGAAGGCAACTCAAGACCATTTTATTCAGTGAAAAAAATTATGTAAATTATATAATCCCATTTTTAAATGTATATGTTTATATTTTTGTATGCTTAGAAAAAGGACAGGAAATAAACCTAACAGAATATTGCCAGTAGTGATCTAGTGGTAGGATTACAGGTGTTTTTACTTTTTTCTCCATACTTTTCTATGTTTTCTAACCATTCTACAATGAGCATGATTAATTTGGGGGAAGCTAGAAAAAGATCTTTAAAAATTATATGAAGAATATATTCCTAAATAACAACTTCCACAAAGGTGCAAATTAAATAGGCTGCAGTCCACATGCTTTAATGCTAATTGCTTAACTTGAAGAAAATGTGGCAAACTGAACCTCTTTCAACTAGCTCACGTCACCACACCTATCAGCTTCACTAGGTTTTTTTTTTTTTTTTTTGGTAAAAGGAAAAAAAACTTGTTTCTTATATTTTAAGACATGTATCTAAAAATATGGTCAGTATGCTGTAGGGAAAGGACTTTAATTTTTTTTAATAGAAAAACTTTTTAACGTACACTGTGGTTTGGTTATGTATTCCTAAACCAAAAAACCAAACCCATTGCCGTGGAGTCAATTCCAACTCATAGCGACCCTATAGGACAGAGTAGAACTGCCCCATAGGGTTTCCAAGGAGCACCTGGTGGATTCGAACACCGAGCTTTTGGTTAGCTGCCGAGCTAGCTGCTATTTCTCACCTCCAGGTTACTTTTATCTAGAGGATTATTGCCATCTTTTATTTTTATAGAACCTTAATATCTTATAAAGTGTTCCAGAAATTCCAATGGAAAGTACAAGCACAATCAAAATTTTGGTAATAAGTATAATAGTGCTTTGAACTTAAACAATTCTTTCATATAAAGCCTATGCAGTCACCCACACACTAACTATATATGCATATATATATATTTAATATCTCCAAATATTTGAATGTATTTTCATGTATATGTACATGGATACTTATGCTTTTAATCAATAAAAATGAAATTTCTCATAAAATGTAAAATTAAGCTATACTATACTATTTTTTATGGTCAAGACTGGTAGCCCAGATCCCTTGGCTGATTTTAGACTTAAAACTGCTGAATCAGAGCTTACACAAAAATGTGTATATTTATAAATGTACACTACAGTTAACCCGTTGCTGTCGAGTCGATTCTGACTCATCGCAGCCCTATAGGACAGAGTAGAACTGCCCCATAGGGTTTCCTAGGCTATAATCTTTACAGAAGCAGACTGCCACATTTTTCTCCCATGGAGCAGCTGGTGAGTTTGAACCATCGACCTTTTGGTTAGCAGCTGAGCGCTTTAACCGCTGCACCACCAGGGCTGCACAATAGAGACTATAGTTCTTAAGAATTTACCAGTTTTTGTATGTATACAGAAATTAAATGAACTACAAAATTTCTGTAAGAAGTTGATGCTAAATAGTAATTTTTTTAAAAGTGAGTATGGCAGTCCACACTTTGTTGCCCATCGGTAAGATTAGAAATGTCTGAGGCTTCAACTGCATCATAAATCAATCTCTGTTGTCCTCAGTGGTTGTGAACATTGTTTTGTTTTCTTTTGATCAAATAAGTTGTAAAAATTTTAATGAATTTATTCAGTGAATGATATGCCAAAAATCTTTAACTTTTGAAGCTTTTAACAAATAGGGTAGCAAATTTTATGATTGAAACAAAACTTGCAAATCTGAAGACATTGAAATCTGGTCTTAAGAAAGGAAGAAACCAAACAAAATAAATAATTGAAAATTCAAATAGAATACAAGATTTAATTTTGAAATTCTATAACTTTATGTAAATTTATGGGAAGAATCTTTTAATGGCGTGCCTGTTTTTAATTGGAGCCCTGGTGGCACAGTGGTTAAGCACCATAGTGAGCTACGGCTGCTAACCAAAAGGTCGGCAGTTTGAATCCACCATGCGCTCCTTGGAAACCCTATGGGACAGTTCTACCCTGTACTATAGGGTCACTATGAGTCGGAATCTAGTCAACTGCAATCAGTTTAGGTTGGGTTTTTTGGTTTTAATTGGATAAATGTTAATTCTGCATCAGAAAGGAATGAAATGGCCTATAATTTTATGGAATCAAAATATGGTGAAACGTTCAAAAGAATTACAGAAAATTCATTTGACAAGTTGTGTCTTAGAAAAATAATGTGTTGAACAAAGGTACTCTGAATGGGGGCAAAAGACAGCACCTGTGAAAATGTTTGAGCTGAAATATTTGTGTTTTCAATATGAAAAAATTAGACTTAAAAATGTTCCCCACTTAGCCAAATTTGTTCTGAGTCTACCAAGTACCTCAGTACTAGCTGTCATTGTGTGCCGTCAAGTCAATTCAACTCATAGTGACCCAAGGATGACAGAGTAGAATTCCTCCATAAGGTGTTCTAGGCTGTAATCTTTATGAGGGCAGATTGCCAGGTCTTTTCTCCTGCAGAGCTGCTAGTGGTTCACACTGCTGATCTTTTAGTTAGCAGCCAAGCACTTAGCCACTGTGCCACCAGGGCCTTTCACTACTAGTAAAGACAGTATATTCTTAATTTAAAATATGGTCTTTAGAGAAGAGTAAATGAAGTGGTCAACAATTTCAAATCACTTAACTATAAAATTCAATTTCAAAGAAGGTTGTAAGCAATTTTATTTAAAAATTTAAAATAATGAGCCCTAATTGAAAAAAAAAAAAATTCTTTTGGAAAATTACCTGTGAAATGGCATTAGAGAGAGATACAGCTAAGAAATGGATTAAACATAATTATTCTGTTATTTTTAAAAGTTCAGATAATCAACTTAAAAACATTTTTAAAATTTAGAAAGAATTTTATTTCTAAAAATAAATAAAACAATTTTTAGGTCCCTTCAACATATCAAAACAATTGCCAGTCAGTATTTCAAAAAATTATAATTATTGTTGTGCTCATTTTCACTCTCAAATTTTCTGGTTTGGACCACAAATTATATGCTCACCTTATTGATAGATGAGGCAAATAAAAGTCACTAAGGGTAAAGAATATTTGAACTGCACACATAATAAGCTTAATTTAATGAAAAAATGTAAAACAGCACCCAATAATTAAAAACACCATTCTTCTCAAACACACATAGAACATTAACAAAAATTAACCATATATCACTCCTTAAAGGAGCCCTGGTAGGACAGTGGTTAAGCCCTGGGCTACTAACCAAAAGCTTGGTGGTTTGAATCTACCAGCCACTCCACAGGAGAAAGTTGTGGCAGTCTGCTTCTGTAAATATTTACAGCCTTGGAAACCCTATGGGGCAGTTCTATTCTGTCCTGTAGGGTTGCTACAAGTTAGAATCTACTCAAGAGCAATGGGTACCATCCCTTAAAGTAAATCTCAATAAATTTTAAAGAACTCAGGTTCATATAGACCATGTTCTGTGACCATAATGCATCAATGACAGAAAACAAAACAAATAACCCCTTGGTTAGGGTTCCATAAACCTTATATGCATGGTCCCACCTTTGCAAGTGTTCCATGTACCTTATTTGGATTATTAGTAAGCTGTCCAGTCTCCTTGGTAGGCCACAGAACTTTATTTGCATAGTTTCACCCAATCATTTTGTGGGAGTCACAAAGACCATGCATGGCCAGAAGGGCCATATTAAGCAATTCTCTGCACTACAAAACTATACTAAAACTTATGCAACAGGGTAGAAATTGTGATGGACATTAAGAATTAGTCAGAAGTGAACGATGACAATATTTGAGGTTTCAAAACAGCATTTAAAAAAATTTTATTGTGGTAAAATATATATAACAAAAAAATTGCCATCTTAATCCTTTTAAGTGTACAATTCAGTGATATTAATTATGTTCACCATGCTGTGCAGCCATCACCACTGTCCATTTCTACAAGTTTTTCATCACCCCAATTAGAAACTCTGTACTCCTTAAGCAATGAAATAGAAGACAAAGAAATAATAGGAAGATTTAACAGGCCAAAATCTGGTAATAAAGTGAACCAACCTATTGCAAAACTGATGAAGGAAAAAAGAGAGAAGGTACATGTAAAGGGACATGTTGAGTCAAATCCAACTTATAATGACCCCATATGACAGAACAGAACTACCCCATAGGGTTTTCTAGGCCGTAATCTTTACAGAAGCAAATTGCCAGGTCTTTTTCCCATGGAGCCTCTGGGTGAGTTTGAGCCACCAACCTTTTGGTTAGCAGCTGAGTGCTTAACTGTAGTGCCACCAAGGCTCATTTTAACTATAGACATAGCAGAGATTAAAAAGATAAAAGCATATTCTAAACAACTTTGTCATTAAATTTGAAAACTTAGAAAAAATGAACATCTTAATTTTAAAAGTAAATTTTCAAAACAGTCTTTAGAAGAAAGAAAATTCCCATGTAGCCCTATAACCATTAAAAAAAATTGAATCAGTAGTTGAAAATCTTCCTGTAAAGATAACAGCAGATCAAGAAGGTTTTACAGGTGAATGCTACCGAATTTTCAAGGAACAGATACTTCCAATTTTATACAAACTTTCTGAAAATAGAAAGTGCAGCTATGTTTACCTTGTTACATAAACTAGACTAGAATAGTATAAAGAAGGAAAATTATAGGCTGGGCTCTTCCATGAACACATGTGAAAACATTAAATGGAATCTTGGCAAACTGAATGAAACAATGCAAAAAATATACATTTTTACCATAGCAAAGTAGGATTTATCCCAGGAATGCAAATTTGACTTAGTAGTAAAAAATTAATTCACCACATTAATCCATTTTAAAAATGTGAAAAATATATAATCATTTCAAAGAAGCAGGAAAGCATATGATAAAATTCAGATTCTGTTTAGGATGGGAAAAAAATTAGCAATCTAGGAATAAAACAGAATTTCATTAATTAGATTAAAGCTATCTGCCAAAAACCTACAATAAGCATTATACTTAATGGAGAAATGTCATAAGTATTCCCTTATAAAAAAGAATATGATAAGGATGCACATTACTCCTTATATTCAAGTTACAGCAGAGATCTAGCCAGCACAAAACCCCAATAAAACCAAAAAATAAAAGGTATAAGAATTAGAAAGTGTGAAAGAGCACTCGGGGACATCTAGGTCAACTGACATAACACAGTTTATAAAGAAAATGTTCTACATCCCACCTTGGTGAGTAACATGTAGGGTCTTAAAAGCTTTCGAGGAGGTGGGGCCAAGATGGTGGAGTAGTCAGACGCTTCCTGTGGTCCCTCTTATAACAAAGACCTGAAAAAACAAGTGAATCAGTTATATATGACAATCTAGTAGTCCTGAACATCAAAGGCAAAGTTGAGGAATCGGACTGAGTGGCAGGGAGAGGGAGAGACAGTTTGGAAGCTGTGAGGAGTTGCCAGCCCTGACCTGGTGGGAGCCAGTGCCCTTTAGGCTGGATCAGCTTGCAAGTGCTGTCAGGCAAGCAGTGGTGCTTGGGAGGCATTTTCCACATCCGGAGAGGCCCAGCAGCAGTGAGTCTACTTGGCCATCCAGAACCAGTGAAAAGCAGCACTCAGAATTGGCAAAAGGTAAGTACTTGCGACTGGCCTGCGCAGATCAAAAAACACTCCTCTTTGGGAAAAACCCCTCTCCCACTTCCTGCTCTGCACTGGTCCCAGGCCGGCTTCAGCGATTGCCAAGTCCCCTGGGCCAGAAGTAGGGCCTGTCATGTGCCCTGAGCCATTCTCCTGGCCTTGGAGAGGAAACAAGTTAACAAACAGGGTAAGATTAATCTGCCGGCTCCCTTAAGCCAGGAACTCAGGGTAGGCACAGCTCGTTTGCCTAAGCACAGGCATAAGGGGTCCATGGACTCTGAATGCCTTTCACCCCTGCATAGACTTGTGTGGGCCCATTGCAACAGCATACGCCCTCATTACCACAGTACAACAGGGTATATACCTGAAGTCTAACTTCAACTGTTTCAGCTGTGAAGTGGCAGGTTCGTGATATTTGACACTGCTTTCCCCATTAAGCAGGTTCCTCACCTGCCCACATTAGGGGCCTGAGGGCTCGTGGCTCCATCCATGCCACCTAGCCACCTGCGACAAGGGTTCAAGAATAAGTGGTACCCCCTAGTCCTTACAGCCAACAGCATTGGGTGCTCATAGTCTGGCTGTAAAACCCACCCACATATGCGCCCTAGGGAACAGGGACACACTTTCCTCACAGACACTCAGGCCGACA